ATTGACCAAACGTAACACCTGACGAGCCTAGTTCTCAACTCTATGTCCAATCTGGGGTTCTGGAAAACGTTCTTCATTTTTAAAAATGCATTTCTCGCTTGTTCTATTCTGGTTTTTATTTCCACGTCGTTCAAGGTGTTACCTATCCAGGATCCCAAATCTTTGAACTTGTAGACCTGTTCTACGGTATTCCCTCTATTTTAATAGAAATTGGTACATTTTAGTTCTTTCCAAATACCACGACTTTGGTTTTAGAGGAATTAATCTTCATTCCGTATTTCTTACAGGACAGCCTTCAAATCGCTCCAGTAAACTCTGGAGCGGTCCAGTAAATTCTGGTCATCGGCAATTCTAATGTTGTTAATGACTTCGCCGGTAACTTTAATACCGCAATCTGTTGAAGAGAAAGCTTCCCGAAAAATCGCCTCAGAATAAACATTAAACAGTAAAGGAGACAGCACACATCCCTGTCTTACTCTATATTGACTGGATTGGAATTGTCATTTTCAACTTTCATGTGGACTGTTTGTTGCCAATATATATTTTTCAGAAGTGTCTTTGCTGTCAACTCCCAACTCATACGAATATGTATACTCTGTCGAATGCTTTTTCGAAATTGTTGATACATGATGGGCTAAAAATGATCATTGTTCATTATCACGACGCTGGATCATCGGTTGCTGTGCAATACTTGAGCCTGATCACTGAATATGATGTGGATTTTATTGCAAGCATGGGCCTGCAATCTATAATTTTTCTCCCTTTATTGTATTAATTTAATACCCTTAAGCCTAATTTCTAGTGGTGTTTTCATTTTTGTAAGATTTTCCTCACTCACTTAATACCATTTTTATTAAGTGAGTGAGGAAAAATCTTATATATATATATATATATATATATATATATATATATATATATATATATATATATATATATATATATATATATATATATATATATATATATATATATATACATTGATATATGATATATAACGTTCTTTCTTTTTTTTTATCAGAACCTCTTGAGGTTTTGTCTTTGTCAACATATGGTTAGCTTTCATTACAGTTCTGATGTTATACTCTTTCTCGATACGTTGAATTTTCTGAGAGAGACACTTCATGTAAGGAAATTTAAATATTACTCAGGATGTGTTTTTGCAAACATAATACTTGTAAAATACAGTTGAGATTGGAACCTAGGCGATATAATAGCAAAATCAAACACTAGATACACCACAATACATGAAAACATTTTACTTCGTACATTGCACAGGCATTTCGCTAATCATGTTAGCATCAGCAAAATAAAGTTTTAATCAGATGATTAAAACTGAAACGAAAGTCAATGATACTTAGTGGTTCATACTGACATAGTTCACGAAACTAAGTGCATAAGAGTACCACCAATCAAAATATAGTTATACTACAGTACAGTGCTTTTTTTACCTAGGACTAAAAAATTTAAATTATACGTAATGGTGACTTGGTAATATTCACAGATTTTTATTCCATATCCACAATGAGCTGTTTTCATCTCTGTTTTCATCTCATTATAAATAGGACAAATATGAATCACAACGATTTTTACCGTTAAAGCCAAACAAAAACAAATTGTTTACATTTACTAGGTGTTAACGTTTGTAATAGAACAATTGCTTTTTTAACGGGCAGAATTTATAGTCGAAGTCTGGGCTTGTTTCGGAACAATAAATCAGATACAATTTGATATTTGTGATTTTTTCATAATCAAATAACAATGAAGTATGGAGATGTATGACACACTTTCTTCCTTCCTGGGTTGCGATGCGTTATATAAAAAACCTATATTATTAAATGCTATAATACATACCTCTACTGCTAAAACATATTAAAAATCTTTATTTTAGCATCGTCACAGTTGAATAGATCTAAAGACTGGTTCTCTCTCTCTCTCTCTCTCTCTCCAACTGACATGCTTCACCAAACATGCGTCTTGATCCAGAAAATTATTAAATTTTTATGATAACTATTAATAAAAATGTTTATAATCTAGTGTGTTATTTTCGAAAAAAGTAGCATTTGATCAGGAAGTTCATATTCTATTTGTTGATTTGAAGAAAGCTTATGACAGCATACCTTTATGGAGAGTTTGGGAGACGCTTCAACAAAGTAATATGAAGACAGAAATAATAAAGGCTGTTAAATATTTATACCGTAATTCAAAATATAGAATTAAAACAAACCATGGCTTAATAATAGGATTTACAGTCACTAAAGGCCTCAGACAACGATTTACATCTCCGTCTCTCCCTGATGTAAGCTATTAGACCTTGTATCAAGTCGGTAATAGTCTTATAATAGTTATGACATTTTAGGAATAATAGCATTTTTTGAAGTAAACACTATATTATAACAGTAACTAACACAACACTTACTCTAAGGTATTCCATACTCAAATTAACTATTACTATAGTTTACTTTTTGAAGTAAATAAGTAAAGCAAATGAGTGTTGTTATTTTTTTATCATCATCATCATTAGCCGTTTGTCGTCCAACTTTGGACATAGGCCTCTCCCAATTCTCGCCACCGATCTCTGTTCTGTGCTGTGCGTGTCCAATGTAGTCCTGCCACTCTTTTGAAATCATCGTACCATCTCATTTGAGGGCGTCCTCTCATTCGCTGTCCTAAGTATGGCCTCCATCGCTGAATTACCGTGTTCCATCTATTGTCGGATTGTCTAACTGTATGTCCTGCAAAGCTCCATTTCAATCGTGCCGCCCTGGCTGTCACATCCTCCACTTTAGTCCGCATTCTTATCCAGCTATTTCTTTTTTTATCCTTAAGTTTAACTCCTAACATAATTCTTTCCATGGCTCTTTGGGTCCTCGACAGTTTTTCTATATTTGCCTTTGTAAATGTCCATGTTTGGCAGCCGTATGTAAGGATTGGCAATATGCATTGGTTGAAAATTCTGCTTCTCAAATATTGGGGAAATTTCTGATTTTTGAGTATCCACGATAATTTTCCGAATCCAGCCCATGCCAACTTGCTCCGCCTAGTAATTTCGGCCGTTTGGTTTTCTTTTCCTAACTTGATCACCTGTCCCAGGTATATGTATTCTTTAACTGTTTCCAGGGGGGATCCGTTGATCGTCACGTTGTTTTGATTTTCGGTATTTGTCATCATTTTTGTTTTTTGTATATTTATCTTTAGGCCAACATTTTCCGATGCGGTTGTCAGCTGGTTTACCATTGCCTGAATTCCCTCAAAAGTGTCAGTAATTAGGACGACGTCATCGGCAAATCTCAAGTGATTTAGTTTTTTGCCGTTTACATTAATGCCATATTCCGACCAGTCCAGTTTTTTAAAAACATCTTCCATTGCCAAGGTAAACAATTTTGGAGATATCACGTCTCCCTGACGTACTCCTCTCTTAACTTGGATGGGTCTAGTAGTATCTCCTATTTGTATTGTCATTGTTGCGTTCTTGTATATATTATGGATTAAGGTTCTATATCTTGAATCAATTCGGCAGTTGTTCATTGCTTGTTCTACAGCCCATAATTCGACACTGTCAAAGGCCTTTTCATAGTCCACGAAAGCAAAATACATGGGAAGATGATACTCGTTTGCCTTCTCAACCAATACTTTCATAGTCAGCAGGTGGTCTGACGTACTGTATCCTTTACGGAAACCTGCCTGTTCCACCGGCTGGTAGTTGTCGAATTTTGATGTTAGTCTGTTGTTAATGACTTTCATGAAAAGCTTATATACTTGAGAAAGCAAGGATATTGGCCTGTAGTTTTTTATATCACCTCTATCACCTTTTTTGAATAAGAGTACTGTCAGGCTGTTATTCCAATCTCTTGGTATTTGTCCGAGATGTAGACATTCGTTAAATAGCTTTTTTAATATCGGTATCACTATGTCTTTTCCTTCCTTTAGCATTTCTGCTAATACTTCATCTTGGCCTGGTGCTTTATTATTCTTCAGGTTTCTTATGGCTTGTTCAATTTCGAATTCATCTATATCCGGCAGTTCCTCGGATCCAACATTTTCTATTTTCAGTTTTAGTTTTTCTCTTGTAGGGGTGTCTGCATCTTTCTTAGACCTATATAGGTCAGTGTAGAAGTCTTCTACTATTGAGGTGATCTTTTTTTTGTCTCTCTCTTCTTTTCCATTTGGGTATTTTATAGATATCATTCTTTGGGTTCCAAGTGTTGGTTGTAAGCTTTTTAGACCCCTGTTGCTCTCTATAATTTTCTCCGCTAACGCTTCGTTGTGTTCTTTTAGGTCTTTTTTGACTTCTTTTTTGATGATTTTATTTAGTTCATTATATTCCCCCGTATTCATCCTTCCATTCGTCATGAGTTGCCTCCTTTGATTCATCAGTTGTTTCGTTATTTTTTTATACCAATTACAAAATTGATCATTAGAATCCAGATCTCTCCTTGATTGTCTAGTTGCTTTTTCATGAGGCCAAATCCACGTTTCTTTACCATTTTCAGTGTCTAAAAAGTTTAAGGATAATGTTACAATGCAACTATATAATTAAATAATCATTATCTTGACGATTTCGAATCTGTTCCAAATAGAAGAACGAAAAATAAAAACAGTGCCAATTCGTGAGAAAAGCGCAACACAGTTCGCACGAAAACAATCGCAGAACAAGAACAATGGCGCATAATTGACGTAAAATCAAGAAATTTATCGCGGGTGAACGTGAAAAGTTGAGGCCGTCGCTAGTCGGGATATTACCACGCGATAGCCGTAATACAATCGAGGGAAAATTACAATTTAAAAAAATACAATAACAACCGACGCTTATGGTTTCGTTGTTTCGTAAATGCCAAAGGAAATAACCATTGCTAATCATTTTAGTATTTCACAAAAAGGGCTTTAGGTACACGATTATTTTTTTATTACACTCGTAATAGCTAAATGTTCCAACATTAATTGTAGTATTTTCAGACACAAATCTACACAAATATCTAATCTCTTACTATCTTTTATTTCAGCCTCCGCCAGTTCAACGACAACTCACCACCGGTTCTATCCCTAAGGAGCACTTGGAAGGCAAGGACGAACTACGATTTAATCATAACAACAATGTCAAAATATCTCCAGCTGGTTCACCGTACCCGTTGGTCGGTAGTACTCCCCCGCTATCACCCCAACAACCTCCGCAGGCAAGGCGATTGCTTCAGGAGACTTTGGCTAAACCTGGACCGTATCCCATGATAGCTGGACCTCCTAAAGGGTAAGTGATATTCGTTTGATTCTTCTGTTTGACGCAAGCCATAGTCAAGCAGGCTTTGACTTTTACGGTTCGAAAAATTATAATATAATTAATTTGACATAGTGTTTGGTTATCTGTCTGTCACGATACAAAGTCATAATCATAAAACATTTTGAATAATTGAAAACTCTGAATGCATTCTGATATTTTTGTTCTTCTTGCCTCTGTAGGAGTTCTTACGAGATGGACTGCCAACTGCCTTTCCACCTTTTTTGAGGTCTTCCCAGCTGTCTCTTGCTGACAGGTTTCCCTTCAAGAGCTATGCGGTAGCCTGTTTTCTTCCATGCGTTAAACCTTTACGAACCATGGTATTTTTCTTTGTCTACCCCATCTCACTGCGTCCGGTATTCCACATTGTTGTGTGATATTTGTGTTTCTAAGTCTATCTCTTCCTAGTCTTCGCCATTATGGTTCTTAGGTTCTTCATTTCAGAAACTCTTAACATACTTTTGGTTTTGTTTGTTTCCTCTCGGATTTCTATGCCATATCATTATTAGTCTGATGCAGGTCTTATAAATTTTAATTTTGCTGCCTTTTCGTATGAAGGGGTTTGTCCACACCATCCTGACATGGCCATCGCTCTGTTTGTTGGCTTCTTAGATCTTTCTCTGGATCGTGGTAGTACGACATATCTGTTCTTAGGTATCTAAGCTGTGATACTTGCTCAACAATTTTGTTTTCTACTACCAGTTTGCGTCTTCCAGGCTCCTAGAGGACGTTAAGCAGTTAGTTTTTTTTTTCTGTAAATCATGTTTAATTCTCGGCTTACTTGGTAGAAGAATTTATTTATGAACCTGTGCATATCTGTCCCCGCGATAATGGCTGCATCATCAGCGTAGCACACCATGCCAACTCTGTTGTGTCCCATTCGATAACCTTTATTCATCAAGCTCACCCTTTCTATAATGATGTCAATTAAAAGATTGAATAAGAATGGACTAAGGCTGTCTCCTTGTCTGCGTCCTGGTGTTGGTATATTATTCTGACATATTTTGGATTATATTCTGATATTCGATTTCATATAATATTAAGCAAGTCAACTCTATTATTTATAATGAAAAACTCGATTAAGTCAAACTCTGCATTTCTTCATACATTAGCAAAAACGAACGATTTACAGCAATTGTGCTATTAAAGGCATGCCTTTTCTTTTGGTACTAATCAACAGTCAACTCACCTATTAAATAGTGTTTATCGTTTTTGTACTGTCACTCTGAAAAGTCATATTATGTTAGGCAGTTTCTCTAGCAAAGATGGTTTTAGTTTGGAGTTGATCTTTACCATGTTCAATTAAAACATTTGTATAACATTAGCCGATACCATTTCTGATCTTAAAACTGTCTCTGCTAGAGTAATTATTGCCAACAAAAAATAATAATACTTTTCCATAACAATCCAAAACGTGATCTATCTCCATTAACTCTCACGGTTTTTTTCCTATTTTGATAACCCTGACGATTGTCCGCCTTCATTGTTTTACATATTGATTTGTAACTTGTCAGTAGATACTGCCACCAATTTCGTTTAGGCCTTCCTATCAATAGTCGTAATATTTGCTCATATTGGATCTAAATTTCTTAATCTAGATCGGTGTTATTACATAAAAGCCTTTTAACAACATCAGTAACTGAAATCCAGGCTTCCCAAATGGATTCATTAAATTATTCTAAATTAGTGTCTGTTATATGGTTTGCAAATTTATTGATAATTATTTTTTTCAGTTATTGGGTGGATGGTACCGATCACGAGGAACAGTTTGACCACAGAGGATTACCGATAATACCCCACCAGACTTGGCGAGCGAAAATCGAGACAGATGACACGGCGAAATACTACAGAAGGTTTTTCGTGGGCAGGGTAAGTAGAATAATTTTAAAAGAAGACATTAAAATATATATAATAACAATTATTCACATTACATTATTAAATCAAGAATTAAGAGTAAACTTATTTTCTATAAAAATAATTCAGTGAACCTTAACCGATTAACATGAACTTTAACTGAGACGGCATGATTTTCGGAGAAATAGAGTGAGTTGAAACGTTCTGATTCCTGCCGCATTGAGCGCTGGTATCGGAATTCAAAATACCAGTTAAAATGTAACAAGCACATAAAGGCAGTTTTAATTTCAATTGAGCCCAGAACCCGACTTATTACATAGCATAAGATATGCGAATATCGAAACGATTCGCATGGAATACAGTGTTCTGTGCAAATCATCGTAAGTCAATAGGCTGTTATGTATTTGTAGATCGTAGATTTTATGGGATTTTCGCGTTATAGCTCATCATACAGTCTCAGGGCTTTGACAAATGATCTTATACAGGAGCTTTGATGAAATACGGTTTCAAACGGTTTTACATAGGTTAGTTCTCTATCTCTGATATCACTCGTACCAAAGTTTATGGCACGAATGATTGTCGTCTCGGCGCACACAGTGACGTGGCGTTCTGGTGTGTCTCCATTTTTTCCACAGAATCTGCATTTCTCATTGTTTCTTAGCTTCATTCTACTGAGGTGTTCATTGAGGAGACAGTGTCCTGGGGTCGTATTTTCGAAACCATTCGACATTTGGCGAATGCGATCTATGTCGAGTGCTAAAAGTCGTACACGCACTAAAAATTGTATTTTTGAACGGCATTCGACATTTCGTTAGCATTCGACCTCAAAATGCATTGGCAACGTCGTAAGTGTGTATAATAATAATTTCATTAGAGTATGAAAAATAAAAAACGCACCATAGTACTTTAAAACACCTTATTCCAAGGTAAAAAAGCTCAAGTTTAAATGCATATTTACATATTTATTTCATTTTTCTCTTTACAAATTCATTAAATTGGGCATTTTAAAAAATTGAGGCCTAGTAATTTTTTTTTAAATTTGCACGCAAATAGACTAAAATTTAAAATACAATTTGTTTTTGTGCTAATATTTCAGAAGTTGACATATGATATGTCATTCGATTCAGAGTGTCATTTTCTATCGAATAAAGTAAAAAATACCGAGGGTGCCACTTAAAAATCAAAAACTGTAGTCATTTCCGGTGAAACAGGAAGTGACCGAAAATAATTAAATACGTCAATCAATCCTAATTTATGTCATACACTAACATACCGAAATCTCGTTTTTTTATCTAAAAAAAAAATAAAAAAAAGTTATAGGATAGGGGTGAGCCACTTTTGAGACGCACCCGGTATATTAATAAGCGTAAAATATAATATACATAACCAAACATCTATACCTATCAAATAATACATACTATATCAAATAATGTCGAAACAAGGAAAAATATGATAATATCCATGCTGCATTAAGTTGATTTGGTTTTTTTTTGCTATAGCTAAATATTTTTTTCATTTGTTCCAAACTTTTCAGCGTTCACTTGTATAAACTATTAATTTAAATGCAATAACTTATATTAATTGTATATGGTATATTAAACCGGTAACTTAACAACTTATTAACAAGTACAAAAACGTATGCAATAACTGAAAACCAAGCACAATCTAGAAACGAATATTTTACCGTAAATACACCTTTCTCCTGTATGGAATAATTCTTCCTGCAACGGCTCATTCGTCACACATATCCTGAACAATATTCCGCCAGATATTTGCATGTTTAAAGATATCCGGAGCGCCGGGCCAGGTCCGGGCGCCATTACGACGACCACAGAACCATTATTTGCCCACGAACCGGTCGAACGTTATCTGGCGTTGGCAGATAATGCCACCGGGGCGCCTTCCACGGCTTTCGGTGGGTGTTTGGTGCGTAATTTAACATTTAAACACTAGATGGAATGGGTGTCTACATGTTACACTATGCGTAAATTATCGGCTCCGCTGATGAGGTCGTGCGTACTGCGAGATTGTTTGTTTGAAGGTGGTAGACAGCAACAAAGAATAATTTAAAAAGGGGGTTGTGTAAGGCTGGGCTTTATTAGTTTTATTTTATAAAAATTGAAAATATTGTTACTGATTTTAATTTGTGAGTTTAATAACAATATTGAGGGTTATTTCTTGCCACAGATTGGTGTAGTAAATTTACCATCCGTTCTTTAGTTTTACAACTCGTTTGTAAAATCGCTGTATGGCTAATTTGTAATATGTATGTAAATATGTTATAATATATCTTTATATTCTCCAATATTCTCTGTGAATTTATTTAAAAAATGTATATCTCATAGTAAATTTACTGATTCATTATTTGAAAATCGCCAACTTCGCCAATCGCTACAAACTAAACCAAACAAATTAAAACATTTTATTATAGTGAATTTACAATAATTACTTTTGTAAATTCGCAAAGCGTTAGTAAATATTAATAAATTTAATAAGATACATGTTTACAATTATAGTATTTATTGTAAAGGTTAATAAAAGTCACAAAACAGAACTTATATAATTATGTAAGAAACTGATTGCATATCTCTTCTTGTATAGAAGAACCTTACTGGAATTCTGCGCCTAACCAAAATAGGAACAAAATTGCCATTAGTGCCCATTAAATACAAAATAAAAAAAACATGCAAGGAAATGTATCTAATCAAAACACTCAACTTACCAACTTAGAGACTATGAATGTATACAGTCCTCTACTCCGGTCCTCTGTTAAATTTGTCCTCCAAAACACAGTCTGAAAGAATAAATAATACTTAGGGGATATGTTGATATAGAGAGTGCATGAAACAATTATGTTTACATAAAAAAATTGGTAAAATTAAACTGCAAATAATTATAATAAATGAGATTGTGTTTTCTAAGACAGCTGGCTTTTTATTTACCGAAACTACATATAAACATAATTAGTATAATATACTTACCCTTAAATTATAAAAACACTAATTGCCCACGCACTGAGACTCCCACTTGTTCAAAAAACTGTTTAGGTTAAAATGTTTTTCATCGTTCGTTGTTTCCTCTAACTACGTCGATTACTTAATACCCATCAGCAATATATTATGGTAAATTCACACCAGTTTTCTCAATTTTTACCACAAGATTGTATTTCTGATTTAAATTTAATTTTTAAACTCAAAAAACTCATTGTGAAAATAATATCGTTTAGTAATAATCATTTAATATTATAAACTGTTTTGCAAAATGACATTGTGAAACTATACAAAAATATCTTATTTTTACAAGTTTCATATTAAAAATACTCTAATGTATCAATATTTTTTTGTTAAGTTACTTATATTTTTTTCAGTGTACAACGTATTGATTGACCACTATCTTGACATTACCACTACGTGTAAATTGTAAATTAACAATATAATGTTGTTATACAGGGAAAAATGAAATCTCTGAGACAAAAATTTCTCATGAAGATCTCAAAAACATATTGGGGGATTAGAGGAGGAACTTTTTGACATACCCCAGACTATAATTTCCAGCAATTCCTTATAGCCTCTTTAGTCATAAATATTTTTTTTCCGCAGGCTCTACGGCTAATATGTTCCGAGATACAGCACAGAGCTATTCTTAGTGGAACACCCGGTGCATCAAAACATATATTCGAAAAAGTCAAAGATAATGTGACAAAACTAAAACGTCGACGGTGTATACGCACTATCCAATCCCCCGCGACAATATTCGAGGCTGGAAAAATTTTTCTATGCGACTGGTTTCGCATACTACATAGCCATATTCATTTGTTCGAAATCTCCAGACCATATCGCCGACACACAACCGCAAGCAACTCTGACAAGTTTGAGATTCTCGAGTTTTGCGTTTTCTTTTTCGCTTTTCGCCTCCCCATTGTCCGGCTACTTTTTCTTTCCTTCTTTATGTTTATCTCAAGACGATCGCATATCATCACCGATAGCCACCCTCCCATGTCGATCGATACCTAGCGTACTGCATTACTCGAATGATATGCTAATTATTCGACTACGTAATAATATTTTATCAATAAAATACTAAAAAATGTTATATTATATTTGAAGGTTGCAGATTTTAAATGGTAGAATGTTTAAGAGAGGGTTAATCACCTATGACCTTAAATATCTATTGTGTGTTGCCCTTTCTTGAGTTATAACGGGTTATAACTCGTCATACAATCACAGGGCTTTGACAAAAGCCGGTATCTGAGACGGCTCCACAGAGGCCAGCTCTCCATGGACAGGCGGAACTACGGTTCTAGGAGCGCGACGGCTGGAGCGAACACGCGCGACGCTACGTACATACCAGTGCCAGTTACTATTGTTGGCGACCGACGAAATCGCGACGGCTGGAGCTAAACACGTCGTTATGCGGTTACTACGGTTCCAACTAACTTCGAGAGCAATTATAAATAATTTATTTGCAAATTATAAATAATTTATAATTTTGTCGTCATTATGATCGTCGTTCTTCAGTAACAGGTTCCTGATTCGTTGTGGAGCGCAACACGACGTTACTCAAATACCGACACATCACTAGAACCTACCCCAAGATCCTTTAGGCAGAAATCTACGCTATCGAAAGATGCGTACAATTTATCTTAGATAGAAACTATCGAAAACACTAAAAGCGATCAACTCAGTAACCATCAATTCGAAGTTGGTTTGGTTTGGTCCTCTCACTCCGCTCACCAAGGGATAAAAGACAATGAAAAAGCAAACGATCTAGCTAGAAAAGGGGCGAACACTCCACTAACTGGACCAGAACCGTTCTACTTTCCAAGCGGAACTGGAGAACCTGGAGGACTCCATCCGTAACCTGGAATGGGAACTCCTCCAACGGTCTCAGACACTCGAAAATGTTCCTCAGAACTTACGACCGAGAAAAATCAAAGATTTTCCTTGATAAGAACAATATTCAGATTGTCACGGGGTTTCTAACAGGACACTGTCTTCTCAACGAACACCTCAGTA